ATAACCCTCGAGCAAAGAGCCCAGGTCTTCTGGCAGTTAATTGTCGCCACCACTTCGGAGATCTCCTTGCAAGGTCAGTTGAGCAAGGGGGAGGATGAGCTGGTGAACACACAAGTCGAGAACATGGAGCTAATGGCCCAGTTGGTCCTGTCCCGCACAATTATTGCTAACCTAGAGGACTCGTTAACTGCAAAGCGACGACGGGTGGAGAAGTAGAAGCGGTAGATAGAGAAATCAAAAAGAGAAGCGGTCAAAGTCTTTATGGATGGGTTCTTCAACTTTGAGGAGCAAGCCATCGAGAAGTTCCCCAATCTCGACTTTGACAAGTTTGAGCCTCAATTCAACCCTCCTCTTGAAGGTTTCCCCGGTGGTGGTGATGCAGATCCGACTACCTTGAAGCTTTGAGGACCTCTGCTCCTACATGCTCCTTCTTCCTCTCTTTTGTTATTGAAATGTATGCAAATTTGAAATGTATGTAAATATCCTTTTTTTTAATGGAATGAGACATACTCTTTTAGCTTCTTTTGGATTTTGCATATCTCCCTTATCCTCCCCGCTTCAAAGAGGTCTTGACCTAGTTGGAGTATGATTTTCGTCGATCATGCCAAATTTGTGGGTTGAGTTCCAAGACTTTATCTTATTACTTGATGTGGAGGGTCCAACCTCCACATCTTTCTCGAACTCATTAAGTGCACATCTCCCTTGCCCCGTTGCTCCAAGCTGGTGGATTCGAGCTAATAGCTCCCTAAGCTGGAGGGCTGAGCTCTTCGTGATTTCAAATCTTGATAGGGGCAACCAATTCATACGATTTTGGAAAAAAGGTGGTTAAATGCGCCTACCTATGTGCCGACCTAACTCCGCCTTGAGCACCTTGCATTAACTCTTGTCATAAAACCGTTTTCTTGAAGAAGCCTAATCGTCACCCTTTTGCCTCCATAAATTAGCTACTTCGTTGTTCAAACTGTCTTTCACTTTCGAGCATTTATCTCATCTGGGTGTTTTTCTTGGTTAGTATTCTTCTTGCTTCTTCATGCTTTCTCAGCCTCTTCTTTGTTCAGACAGCATGCTTCTATTCTCATAGATGACTCTTGATATGTCGTTTTTATGTTTCTCAGCTTTGTGACAGCGGCTGAGGCAGAGAAAATTAGAAGGCGATACCATTTTCCAGTGGGTGTGGCTGTTCTATGCCCTACTTCCGATGAGCCTTGCAAACTTCTTCTTCAAAGGAATGTTTGCTTTTTTAAGGGTGCGTTTAAGATGGGGCTCCGTCTGCCCATTCACCGGTCGATCAGGCAGATGCTAGCATTTTTTGGGCTCCCCCCCTTACAGCTTTCACTAGAAGGGTAGGGAACCCTTGTGAGTTTCTTTGTCTTCTGGTGTATGCATGGACATGATCATTTCCCCTCTGTTTCTGAGTTCTTTTATTTCTTTCGCTTTGACAATGACTTTCCTCCCTGCTATTACCGATTCACATGGAGGTTCCAAGTCCGGATGCTGGTCCTCAACATCCCTGGCTCCCTCAAGGGGTGATCACAGCGGTTTTTCTTTGTTTTCGGGGATGCCTGGGAATTTGGCGAGGCACACAGACCGTCACCATGTGCCTCGCTCTTGGGGACGCATTCCGAGTAGAGTAAGGAGTTAGCCTTCTTTTTCGAGTAGAAAGCACACCTTCGTGTTGTATCTCTTTTTCTTGACACTAGTGGCTTTTGTGTTGATGCAGNCCGTCACCATGTGCCTCGCTCTTGGGGACGCATTCCGAGTAGAGTAAGGAGTTAGCCTTCTTTTTCGAGTAGAAAGCACACCTTCGTGTTGTATCTCTTTTTCTTGACACTAGTGGCTTTTGTGTTGATGCAGGTGATCCTAGGCTGACTCTTGATGAGATTGCAAGGGTCTACCACCTTAGCCGAGTTGAGGCAGTTCCCTTTTCCACACTGGTCACAGTTTAGAACCTTTTCAGGTTTTGGCTTGGCCACGACTCGGCTGTCATCTCAGCCATCGTCCCTACTGCTGTTCCAATTGTCCTTCCTCCTACTGTTGTCGAGGATCTTCCTTCTAAGGGTTTCGAAGAAGACACTGCTACTTTCTTAAGGAGGAGGAGGAAGAGATCACAGGAGTCTTTCCCTTCTCCTTCCTCGGACACCTCGTCTAGGAGAAGAGATTTACAATCGCTGAGTTGGAGATGGCGTTCGAGCTGGCCATGTTGAGGAGGCAGCTCTTCAAGGCCGAGAAAGAGAGGGACGAGCTGAAAGAGGAGAATGCTTTGCTGAAAGGAGAGATCACGACACTGAAGAGGGGGAATCTAGGATCTTGAACATTTTTTTGTGCTTCTTGTAATCCTCTTTTGGCGTTTGTTAATGTAACATGGCTCTTTTGTTCTGTTGTTTTTGTTTTGTCACTGCGATCTCTGGAGCTTCAGTGCTCTTTGGCTGAGGAATTGGTGGAGTTGATGAACTCCTTGAAAAATTCAGAAGGTTGAAGTGTCCATAATCGACCAAGTTGAAAAGCTCTCAGGCTGAGAAGTCTAGTCGAGGTCACGCGGCTAAAGCGCTCACGCCTTTGAGAGTTGAAGAACTCTTTGAAGGCTGATGAGCCTGTGATCAATTGAGCTGAAAGTTGTTAGGCTAAAAAGCCTAGTCGAGGTCGCGCGGCTAAAGAGCTCGCGCATTTGAGAGTTGAAGAACTCTTTGAAGGCTGAAGAGCCTATGATGGACTGAGCTGAAAAGCTCTTTAGCTGAGAAGCCTAGTCGAGGTCGTGCGGCTGAAAACTCCCCACTGGACCCTCCCTGAGTATTGATTCCAGTTGTAGAAAAGAAATCAGCCTTTATGCCAGTAGAGCTAGCACCTTAGTGATCTTAAATAACTGCCAACAACAAATTCCGCAATCTATTGATCACGTGATTGCATCGACAAGGAGCACTAGGGATCTGTACCTACTTTCAGTGAAGGTTTTCTTTTGACAAGATGAGGGCTCTACTATTGGAAAAAAAATACCAACAGAAAATTTCAAAGTCTGATGACATTATTGCTGCTCCAAGAATCATTAGAGTTATTCCCTATTTGATCCAACTATTGTTTGGAACCAATTTTTTTTATGATATTCTAAATTGTATGCTATTTGGTTATACTAATGTTATTGTTCAAATTGGTGGNCTCATTCACCACCCCTATCTAAATCCACATGCTATGTGAAAGATGATATTCTCCTACTCATTGTAAATATCACTCAAATACATATATCATCTGGATTTTAAAATCACCTACACTTCTCTTCAAATGTCATCTGTATGCATCACAAATTTCCAAGAAAGCTAGATGAAAATATGTTTTTAGTAGAGAACATTGTTCAATAATCATGACCCAAATTTGCAAATATCTTTTCCATAAAATAAATGAATTTCGGTAGTGCATTCAGAACATAGAACCACCCAGACAGGACATCAGAATCCTGCCTAACGCAAGGAACCTGGCTTGTTAAGAGGTGACGACAAAACAAAAGGACAGGTCAGACCTCAAAAAAACAGAGAGAAGAAAAATTGTTAAGTAACCATCAAGATATGCTTAATCGGCAATGGTATACAAAACATGAAATTCTCTTCGATAAGCTCCACCAAAGAACATGGACATTACAACTTATTAATCCTTAACCCTTTTAAGCATAGGCCAGGCCCAGTTGATTTTATCTTTAAAGAAACAAGGTTTTCTTAAGGTACATCACTAATTTTCATGACATATTGGTTTCCTTATGTCTATGTCACCAAGAAATAAGTATGTCACCCTTTCTTTTCAAAAACGTTTGCAAATTTTGCTAAAATTGATTTCTTGGTATTCAGATTCTGCCAACAGGTAAATTTGCCACCTCAGAAAACTATATTCAACCCTCTTCTCCATTGGTGGATGACCCAACACCCTCCAACAACCAAGGTATGAACTATTAAAAGACAAGATAATAAATGACATACTTTGTCTATACTAGCAAAGTTAACACAGGTTGCAAGTTGAAACACAAACCTGTGGAATTATATTTTTCTCCATCACATCTTGGAAAAGAGGCGGCGGAGGCAAATCTAGTCCGAGCATCAGGAATGGCATTCTGCTAGTCTCGCTAACCACATTATCGGGTTCAGTGCCACCATCTCCATCGGTTCCATTATTCTGGGCGTCTCCATTCGCTTTCTTGTCAGCTATAGCTCTGCTATGAATCTCTTTCACAACCTCCAATTCTCCCTGCAAAAAATTATGGCATAACATTTGACAACAAATATTTAAAGAAAAATACACTGCTGAAGAACAAAAACCAAGATGAAGCAAACACCTGAAAGCACTGGTGGATTATGCTGCTACTTCTTTTTGAAATTCTAAGATCTGTATGCAGTGTATTAAGGAGCCATGACATAAATTCTACTGGGTCAGACTGTGCACCTATGCGAAAACGTTTTTTACTAGCTTTCATAACTGCCTGCAGAAACTCATGTGGGCTCACCTGCAGACACAAAAAACGTTAAGTATACACATTCTATGAACAAAAGTCATTGCTAAAGTTTGATTACACCAGGAACAAACCTGTCCCTTGAAGTTCCTTGCGTGCCAAATCTTTCGAGTGAGCTCTCCAAATCGAAGGACAAGTGTAGATTTGCAGTGGAGATAATTTTCAGGGATAAGGAAAAAGTTCCTCAAGGGAGTAACTCGCATTAAAGATTGAATTGTAACATTCACAAAGTCGGTCTTTCTAATGTTATTGAGTCCCACCTAAAAAAATTGCCAGAGCCATGAGATTACAATTAGCACCAGTTAAGAGTGAAATTGGACACTTGATTGTCTATCTTTATATTCAAAATTTTCCAGAATATACCAATGAGCAACACGAATGAAATGTCATAATAACAGTAACAAGTAATATACCATTCCAGGAAGATAATCAGAACCATCAAGTGCTCTAGACCATTGCCTGTTTCTATCAAGCTGGTGCACTTGCTCCCGAGTAAACCTGTAAAATAATATCAGAGAAATCGAACAAGGTGATTGATCAAAATAGGAATGTAAACTAGTAGCAAGTTATAAAGGGATAAAAAATTCTGCTACATGTAAAAGCAATCAAAGCTAAATATTAGCAAACCTTGGGTTAAGAACATGTCGAATGTCATCTAAGGAAGAGTCAATGATCTCATATCCATCAGGAAGACAATAAACTTTTTCTGTTCGAAGATTGATATAAACATGGTGTCCTGCTTCAAGGCTATGAGTGTATGCGTGAGATTTCTGGCCTCTTCCTTGGTAATACTTCCCACAGACCAAACACGCATACACATTCAAATTCGAAAGAGAAACAGAGCAAAACTTCTCAAAATCAAAATCCAAAACCTGCAACAAAAAGCTGTAAAAGTCAAATGCACCTGCAAATAAAAGCACATAAAGCCACAACCACCTCACGAATAATGAGATGTGCTCAAAAAGAAATTCATTAAGCCAACGAAACAGTTACTACCAAACGGGCAATGGATGTCGATATGCACCAATCAAAAATGAACTTTTACATAAATTTATGTCAAAAGAATGAAGAGCTCATGTATCCCCATGCCAAGTATCCAAACTAAACAAGGACAATTGTGAGGCTGTTCAATAACAAAATTTATGTATGTATAGCAAAAAGGAGCCATCTAAGGTTTCTATAAATATTTCCCATTCGGTTAGACTTATCAAATCAAACCCTCAAGTACAATTCAAGAGAAACTGAGAAAACAACGGAATTGCAATAATTACCCAATAAGAGATGAATATGATACCTGGCGGTTAACGGTATCAAGGTAAGGACAGTCCCTCCTCACTTCATTCATGCGATTAAGCTTCCCCTGTCTTGCATTTCCACCGTGCTCATTCTCTTCATCATCCTCATCATCTTCCTCATCATACTTATGACCATTCTGGTCTAACTTTCCACCCTTATTATCAACCCTGATCCTATCCACATCTCTCATTTCATCGTCTTCGTCCTCATCGTCATCATCGTACGAAGCAAGAGGAAGAAGGGCATTGTCAAACGCAAGCTGAGGAGGTGAAGGAGAAGAAGAAGTCGGCTCAAGCAGCTTCTGCCTCTTGGAGTCCTCGGCCATCGTATTCTCTTCTTCTTCTCTCTTTGTTTTCATTCTATTCACACACAGTCCAAACTTTCACTTTTCACGATTCAATGAACATCAATAAAGTTTTCTAATACCCGAATTCCAAATTCAAAACAAAAATTGCAAAAAATAAATGATTAAGGGGCATTGGAAAGACAAGCACACAAGTAGTAAGGCAGAAACTGTAAAGTTTGTGATTGAGTGTGAGATAACTTACCTGAGATTGTCGATGGCAATCAGTGGGAAGGAGACGGTTGTTAGCCGACGCAAGACACACTCACAGAGCGAGAGAGAGAGAGAGGAGAGGGAATGCCGAAGTTTCTAGGGCTTTTTTCTCTGAATGATGATGGAAATTCGATTTGTCTAAGCAAAATTCCACAATCACATCTGACGCGAATTCCTCCAAATACATTTATATTTATTTTTTTTAGATTACTTGGTTCGAATTCCGGTGAGACATTTTTACACCCTATGGGGGTTTACCCAACTCTGCGGATAGAAAATNTTTAGATTACTTGGTTCGAATTCCGGTGAGACATTTTTACACCCTATGGGGGTTTACCCAACTCTGCGGATAGAAAATGTACACATCCGTCAATTTTTTTTTTATTTATCCTACTCGATAAATTGTGATATTTTTATCCGATTAAAAAAGTTGAGTAAATATTTTTATAACTATTAATTTTTAAATTATTTTAATAATTTAATTAAATAATATGAATTAATTTAATAATACAATAAATCAATAACACTAAAATTTAAAACAACTACAATAACAATTACAATAAAATATAAGAAAGCATGAACATCAATTCATCATAATTGTTATACAAATATAATAATTATTATTTTAAGTTTAAACTATATGAAACAGATTAAAATCATTACTGTTTCAATAGATCACCAATTCACCACAAATTATGTAACTTATACAAAAAACAAGTCTAATATTTTCGCAACTTAAACATCCACAATAATAACAATGTTATAATATAAATTATACCACACAAATACTCTTATAATTACTAAAAATATATATAATATAAAGTTAAATATATTTTTTATGGGTAGAATAGAGTTGGAATGCGAAAATTGATAGGTATTCCGCATTCCTACATGATTTAGTTGGAAAATCAAAAATTCTTTCACTTTTTTACCCGATCTTTGCTGTTAGCCGCTCAGTAGGGGTAGGGTAATGTCGGGTAGAATAAGAAATTACGGCCAATCAAAAATTTGAACACCCTTACTCCCTTCTATCTCATCTTTTAATGAGTAAAAAAATTTAAATAAATAATTATAAAAACTTATAGCGATAAAAAACATTTTTTTTAAAAGTTATTGTTTAATGGAGGGTGGTTATGTCGCATGATGAGATGTAATTAAATAGAATACGTTAAAATAAATTAAAATTGAGAAAATTGAGAAAATATGGTTAAAATTTATTTCACCTAATATGTTTGTTATATAATATAATATAGATGTGCAGTTTTTTAAGAAAAAATATAAAAAATATATTACATGGGATCTTAATCCGTCTCTATTGATATTAGTACTAAGTGAGACGGTGATTTTATGTTATTATGTTTATTAAATAACAAAATCTGATATATTTGTTAGAATTAATTCATAATATTATTAGTCAATGGTGATATAATATCATTGTATTATCAAATATCTTTTTCCAAAATTGAGTTTGGCTATTATGTTTTGTGTTAGGGCATCTTCAATCTTTACCTTTTTTCTAAATTCAAATTTTAATTTAAATTTGAGTAAAAAATTATTAAAATTTTCTCCATTGCTATACTCAAAATCATATTAAATCAAGAGAGACTCTAACTTTATACAAATCATCAATGGTTAGATTTCAATCTCCTTTAAAAATTTAATGGTTAGCACCTCTAATGTAGTGACTTGTCAAGTATTTGACAAACTCACACCTTTCATTGCAAATGAAATTTTCATCCAAACGAAAATAAATTATAGTAAAATAAAATTTTCATCCAAACGAGGTCTGATTATATTTTAACAATAGAACTCTTTCAAGTTGACAACAATCCATGGTCTAAGAGAGTTATATGCTCTCACATTTAGCTTATAAGGTCCCGACTTGCATGTAACGATTATGTTAGGTTCATATGACTAACACAAAGTTCACGGAATATTAGCAGAAGCTACCTTAACAGCTTCCAAAATCTAATAAGGTCCGAGTTAGGAATGACAGAGGTGGGAAAATTCGGAGTTAAATAACGTTTCAAAGGACAGCACTTTTAAGAGTCCTTGAAAGTCTTGCGAAAGCATGAGATCAAAACCCAACACCAGTTTATGTGGACAGCATTATTGGGCTGGGCCAAGGGTCCAAAGGCCAACCACAATCATACGACGGCGTTTAACACTCCTATTAGGGCTAAACACTACTAGCATTCGTACACAACTCAAACCGTCGAGACGAGTAACAGTGTGTGTGTGTGAGAGAGAGAGAGAAAGAGAGAGAGAGAGAGAGTCTGGAAGCAGAGATCCAATGGCGGAAGATTTGGTTCTGGACACAGCGATCAGAGATTGGGTGTTGATACCACTCTCGGTTGTTATGGTCCTGATCGGAGTCCTTCGCTACTTCGTCTCCAAGCTCATGCGCTCTTCTCAGTCACCCGATGCCAAAATCATCAAAGAAGGGTCAATTCTCTCTCTCTCTCTCTCTCTCTTTGTTTACTCTATGCCCACATGTGTGAATTTTTTCGAATTTGATTCGTTGTGTCGATTTTTCAGGCAGGTGATCATTAGGGCTAGAAATTTACGGGCTGGCGCGAATTTTATACCTCCGAAGTCGTTTCGTGCTCGTAGGGCTTATTTCAGCAATGAGGTTTGCTTGTAGTTGCTTTGTTTTGTTGGCTCTTTTGATAATATTGGATTTTGATGTTGCTTGAAGAGAATTCTTGTATAGTTTGATTGATTATTTTTGGGACTTTATGTGAGACTGTCGGTAGTTTATGCGAGCAACTGATGCTGTAATTGAATCTTTGAAAGAAAAATTATTGCTTTGCTCGTGGATTGCGGATAAAGAAAGCTGCGTATAAGGGGTCTTCAAAGCTATTGGCAGAATTTGTGGGGCACTCGAAGTTTGAACTTTTTTCGTGCTCTAATTTTTATATATCTTTCTCAACTGAGCTCACTTATACCAATCTGGTTCCCTATAACCACAGACCTTGCATGGAAAAAATATTGCGTTACTGTAAAAGAAAAGACAACAAAAAAGAAAGAAGAGAGTGAAAAGTTGCTGTAACAGTATCAACCATGCGCCACAAATTATTGCCGGCATTAATTGATAGTTTGTGTCTATGAGCATCAAAATGCAAATATAATAGGTGCAGAGAAAGATAGAGAACTTATTTGATACAGAAATTGGCATAATAGACAAAGTGATGGAGATCCAAGTTGTTGTATGAAATTGCCATTGCCGTAGTTTGGACTCAACTTTGCGGGTATAACTTCCATATGGGGAGAGAGAGGAGGGATTGAGGTTTCTATTTTGATGCCATGTTTTAGTTTGTGGTAGCAGGAGAATACAAATTTTATCTATTTAGGAGGTCTCTTAAATTTGTGGCTTAATCTTGATATTCTTTGAATGTCATGCAGGAAAATGGGTTACTTTTTGTTCCTAAGGGCCAGGCTCAGAATGCACAGGCACAAATGTTCTCTGATCCAAACATGGCTATGGATATGATGAAGAAAAATCTTTCAATGATCATTCCCCAGGTACAACAATTTTCCGACTAGTTTATCTCTGTTTTTAGTGCAATAGACTCATAGTTTCTGTAATTGCTTTGTGACCACTTTGAAATTGTTTTTCCCTCTTTGCCAGACTCTTACTTTTGCATGGGTTAACTTTTTCTTCTCTGGATTTGTAGCAGGTTTGTTCATCTCTTTATGTTTGATCGAGTTATATTTTGAATTTTTGTGAGTTAAAGTTGATTATTTATATTATCTGACATCGTAGTTCCTCTATTATCACATGTTTTTAACCTGTTTTACTCACTGATCCTGCAGTATTTGTGTTATGTTATTTTATTCTGGGCACTTTCTTTTCTTTGCTACAAATGTTAATCTATTTGTGTTTCTAGTATGTGTGAGATATATCCTTCTTGAATGTATCTTTATATCGCAAATTGGTCAGTACTTGTTATTATATACTGATGGTATGTACTAAATTCGTTCTCAGCGAAGATTCCCTTTCCACTTACTCAGAGGTTTAGGTCAATGTTACAGAACGGTATTGACTTGAGTACCGTTGATGTCAGCTATGTGAGCAGTCGCTCATGGTACTTGTCCAACTTTATGAGCAAGAAGCTCCTTTGTCTCAGCTATTTGAATAATAGTGCTTCTGCATCTACCTTTTTTTGAGATTGTTATTGGCTAATTCCTCTAATGGTACTTTCTTCTTTTCTATCAGGTATTTCCTCAATCTCTTTGGATTAAGAGGTCTGTTTAGTCTCATTTTGGGAGAAGAAAATGGTGAGTTTTTTGTAAACTTATAAACTATGTGATACTTCAAATTTTATGTTTGTGAATGCTTATTGTCTTCTCACAAGTATGACAAAATGCTTGTGGCTGGGAGTTTATCAAATGTGATACCTTGTTGAATACTGGATATATTGTGGAAAATTAACACACTGGTACGATGCAGCTACAGATGATACCCAACGAATGATGCAGATGAGTGGATTTGGTTTTGATCCTTCTAAGGTACACGCCTTTAATGTTTTCTGCTGGCTTTTGAATTTTTTAAGAAGCATTTGCTTATGTAAATATCAAACTAGAATTTACATTGTTTGGTTTTGTAGTATGCCTCCTCTTCACTCTATTTTCATCTTTGCTTATAAATTTCCGTTACATGTCTTTTTTGTGAAGTAAATACAGTTCCTTAAACACCTTGAGTGATGAGTCATTGCTGCACACAGTGCAGGTGCCGGCTAGCTTTAGCTACCTCTGAGCCAACTACCCGTTCTAGACCTTAAAGCAAACCTGTGAACATTCATGTTCCTGTTGGGACTGATTTTTGGCAAGAATCCAAAATTAACCGATGATCAATAATTCAATAATTTCAAATGCATGTGTCTGCCTTGTGCAGGTCAAGAGTAGGTGTTGTATGATGATGCCTTCTCTGTCCATATTTGTGGAATTTTTGGGGTGTTATGCCTAGACGCTTAGTGGCTTGGGCTGCAATATCTTTGCTGCTTGTGCTATGAAGTGAATTGGTAGATTAGAATTGGTGTGTTGATGAAGTTAGACAGATGTTGATTGAGGATGTTTTGATATAATTTCCCAGAAATTGTGGTTATGAGGCCCCTGTTGTGTGTGTTTTGGACGGCCAGGTGCAAACAGAATTTTTTTTTTAATTCCCATCACTTAGTAGAAATATAAATCAGACTTTTGTCTTGCCTATGCTATATTTAAACTGGATCTTACAATCTCCATTGGTTTTGATGAGCTCTGATTGTTTATCAATGTTGGAATTAATGGATATCTCGAATGGTACTAGAGAACTCAAAGTCGGCCTCTCCCCCTCCCCTTCTTCCTGCCATGAGTGAATTTATGCTTGGACCTTATAGCTTGTGGAGAAATGGCAGCAGGGCACTTAAATAAAACTATGATGTTGAGAGGAGATGCCTTATGGCAAGTGGCCATATGTGGCTTAATGATTCTAATAGATGAGTCCTAGGTATGCCATATAGGTCTGGACTGGTTTCATTATATACATGAAAACACAAGCCAAAGTAAGCATTGTTTGGCTCAATTGTCAGTCAGCCTCAATAGAAATGCTTAAATACTAGCATATTCAGGTTTTTGAGGAAGTATGTTTACATCCATCATCCTAAAAAGAATATGAAGGGGAAGTCTATGGAATATTGAAAGTGATCAAAATAACTGGTGTCACTCATAATATGAGGAATGATTCTTGTACTGTCATTTAATGTGTTTCTGAACTGCGTAAGCATGGGAGATTAACTATCAAATGTTAATCAACAGTGATTTTGGATTGTGTTTAATGTCTTTTTTATAACAAATGCTTGAAAGCATATATGCTTTTGTACACTGATTCTGAAGTTTCTTTTTGGTACTTCACTGATGCTCTCTGTTTATATACATATATATAGTCATTGTGATGGATTGTTTCTCCCTTTCCCTATGAATTCAGCATTTTTTAGTACTTTAGTTCTTTGTATTTGGTGTGCTCTAGGGGATTAAATACTTACACAGTTGTATGCTATAGGGAAAGGAGATGATTTTTGTGACTGTATGTCATGATTAAGAATGATACCTTTTTCCAACTTTGTCATGACATTGCTTTGTAATACATTTAAGTTATTATGGAAGGACGGGATATTATATTTACTGTCAATTTTTTCATACTTGGCATCACTCCACCATTTGAATGTTGGAGTAGGCTCCATGTGCAAACTTCATTGTGAATGAATTCTAATACTTCTCTTTTGCTTTGTTCTGGTCAGAGTTTGGGGGCAGAGAAAGATGGTCTGGACATAGTTCAGCATGAATGGGCCCTACCAAAATTTGAGCAGCGAGCAGAAGCAGTACTGAAGAAACTTGTCAGCTGAGCAAGAATACTGAAGCATATGATTTTCTACTCCCGTGTGTTTTTGCACCATTGGGTTCTCTGATCGTCTTTCATCTTTATGCAATTCACAAATCAGTCCTGTCGTTTGCAAAGGTTTTAAACTAGCAGAGAAACCAGTGAAAATTAACAATTGTAGTTCTCAGTTTGGTGGGTCTCAAGTTCTTGCAGTTTTGTAGAGTCATCCGCAGTCCTGGTTGTAATAACTCTGACAAATGGCTGAAATATTTGCCAATGTACCACTGAATAATTGCCCCCATCAAATGTAGCAGCACAATGGTTTTTCCATGTTTTTATGTATTTGATTTTGATTGAGGTCAGTCAGTTTTAAGCGGACTATCTTGTTGCAGACTTACAGGTGTATCTTATCATCTTAACAATACAATGTTATTGCCAGAAAGAATAATATTAACCGGCAACAGTTGACAACAAATCTACATATACACGAAAAAAAGAGACATTTCACAAGAAAATTAGATGGCCAAAAAAAATATTGAATCTACCTTGGGAATCGAAATGTAGATACATGACATTTCCTTTTTACGTGGTCCAAAGAAAAACAAACAATAAAACAACAGGTAGGATAAAAAGAGAAGAGAGATCCAATTAGGAGGGAGAGGGAGAGGGAGAACCCATTCATTTAGGAGATGTAGAGAACATGTCCAGTCCTGTCCACTGAATCCACAACACAATTTTGAATTAAGAAATACAAACAGTATGTACCACCACCCATAGCTTCCACCGTGATGGATGCCGAGTAATTCCAGGCCACAATAGAAGCTGAGCTATTCCCATGGCCACACAAACTTTCATGTTCAAACCTGCAACATTACTATCCGAAGTGAAATCAAAGGCCCTTAAAACAGAAGTCAAATCAATTTTCGTATAGTAGTATAAGCACTTTGGTGCAATACAATCCGACATACTCGGGCCCCCTGCCCTTTCTCTCAACTGCCGTCGAGCATGATCAGATCGTCTACATACCCCTTGTCCGAGTCGGGCATATGAGTTACCAGATACATCAAGATATCTCAAGCCTGAAGGTAATATCTTTCCCCGGCGACTAACCTTAGGTCATAGCAGAATAAAATTTCATCTACTCCTAAGTTTGTTCCCAACTGAACATTTAAGGTGACTACGCTCATCACAATCCTAAAGAAATTAACCCCGCATTGAAGGGAAAAGAACTTCAGTTGCATCAGCATCTTCAGCAATAGGGGGTGGAGAGGGAAGGTTAACCCCCCTTCCATGATGGCCTTAGTCCAAAAAGGCATCATGTCTGCACTTCTCATATCCCTCCTATGGTGGGTAGGGTTAAAAGGGAAGGCGAGGACAGGCTCAAGGATGTGGTATCTAACCCTGAAGGCTTGGATGTTCTCGTTAGTCACTTGGGTTCTCCTCAACTTAGGGTTTGCCCTAGGCCTGATAGGTGCCTCCCCCTGGCTCTAATGGTTCTGACCATTAGTGGGTTTTGAAAGGAAAAAATGTAGAAAAAATGAGAAAGAGGCTTGAGAAGGATTACTTACAGGGAGGCAATTTTCAAAGAGGGAACTCGGAGAACAGATGAGTTCTCGGGGGCTGATTGCTGAAGGGAATCTGAGATGCAAAAGTTTTGAGAAGGCATAAGTACCTCCTATTTATACTATTTTGCAAGGAGCAGGAATCAAGAAGTTGAGCCATCATTAGGGAATTTGAAAAGGCGGCGCCAAACATGCAAGTAATTGACAGTATTAATGAGGCGTGTTTATTGAGCCTCCAGTCTCTTTACACCACTTATCCCACGCCGCAAAAAGAATGGAGGCTGGGGGCAGTTGGCAGGACTCTAGGTGGCTCTACAGCCCCCAGGCTGACACGTGGAAAGATGGAGCCATTTTGATATCCAAAAGGCGCCGAGAAGGAGGTAAGCCGAGATATGGTGTCCCAAATGAGCCGTATATGACAGTTGACACCACATTTAATACGATGTGACCTCTTATTTATGACGAAATGAGTGATGGTGACAAGGCTATTAACGAGCGCCTACATTTTGAGAGTCTAGGCCTACCATCATGATGGCTAGTATGCCGAGTATATACGGTCGGCTCTCTTCGAGGAGTTATTCCCCCGAATATTCAATGCTCAGTTGCGGGTGTCAGACGTCGATCTGAGGGATGTGGATATTCGAAAAAGGGCATAAATGCTCAGCATGGCGCCGAACACTCGTCCCATCATCCTAGCATTAAGTAAGAGAAGACTTGAGTGGAGAACACTCATTGCGAAAAAAGTGGCGTGTCAGACATTAAATGTCTAGATAGGACTTGAGGTCTTTAGCAATCATTGCTAATCTAGGTATCAATACTCCTCAGAAAAGTGAGCAAAGGTACGCAAGATTGAACTAGAAAAATCTTATTCATTGAGCTTGAACCTCGAATCTTGAGATTGACTTAAGCTTCGGAGGGGATAAGCCGGGTGTTCACCTGACCCCCTTTTTTTGACCCTGTGACTATTTCAGGTTTACCAGGTTAGAGGTCGCTATCTCAAACTATTACAAGAATTATCTCGTGCAGTTTGTTTAGAGCAGGCTTACCATAGTCAAGTTGACAAAAGTTCAAATACAAGATATGGGTTGTGACAAATGCAACCAACGGAGCTGCAACCATTACCCTGGCAGCCTCATCTTTCACACTGAAAACTAGCAGTATAGCCAGGAGAAGGGAATATCCAAAGTAATGCTACACCAGATGAATAGTCCAACTTCTTGGTCAAATCAACATCTCTACAAAATTGCTTTATGGAATAAGACAAGGAGGAGAAACATCAACTAGCAATAAAATGCAAGACATAAAACAAACATGTTGGCTGATTTCATAAATTTCCTATTAGGTTTTGCGAAAAACATGCCAAACTCAGTTTATATCCTACCCGGGCAATTTTGTCAAAGGTTTTTCCTTCTCTCTGTTTAAAACTTGTCCACGCAACCCAATTATTTGATGAACATAACAGTGTACACAATTGCACAACACATCTTGTTCACAAAATCTTCCCTTTCCATTTTTCATATACAGAGCAGTAATAGGGGCACATCTGATGTGAAGTAGCAACAATGTCCTCATAAGGACTGATGCTACTGTACGAAACTGCTTTCATGACAACAAATTGAATGATAAAGAGTCATATATTGGAAAAAGTTTGAGCCAGCTTCCAACTTTATTTCTCTCAATATGGGAATACAACTATCTATAAAGAGATGGAGAGAAGATAGCTTATCGACTGTGGAAAATAGCACGTGCAAATTGTAGTTTACAAGGATGAAGAAGGATACCCAACCATGAAATTGCATAGCAAGTGCTCCAACTTTGATATTGTAAACTCAAACGCAAAATGAGCGAAGTAATATATTTCTTGGAAGACCGAGATCGAACCCTCAAGGAATTGTAACAAGAAAACAATCACACAAATATTAAAACAAACTTAAAAATAAATGATTTGTTTAGGGAATTGTTGAGCAGAGAAAATTGATTTAAATAATTAAAACAGTAATATAAAAAATACTAAAACATCCCGTCCAGGCCAATGAGACAATAGTCCCCACCCACCCCAATCAACTTATCAGACTCAAACCTTTCTGAATATCCACATCTCTTATAATTAAGTCTAAATTCAATGACATCCCCTCCAAATTTTAAAACTTCACTGTCACTCCTTGTTAGTATTTGTCAGAATGCGGTGTTAACGGTGATTGTTAATTTACAAAAATATCCCTGAATATTTTATAGGATAAAATTTATCCACACCCCTTGTAAATAGACATAATTTCAACGAAACCCTGTAAATATATATAACTTCAATGACACCCCCTGTAAATAGACCTATATTTAACAATACCCCTTCCTGATTCTAAAATTTCAGTGCACTCTTTTTTAGTTCTATTATATTAACCTTTAGATTCATCAATTTAATATTTAATTTTATCAAATTAGAGTCCTTTATTTAATTTAAACTAAACTAACATTCCATCTCATCAAATCAACACAAATTGATATTTAATTGTATCAAATTAGCATTTAGTTATATTAATTTAATATTTTATTTCATCAAATTAATATTCTTTCTTTAATTTAATATTAAATTATTATTTAATTTCATCAAATCAACACCAAATTAACATTTAATTTCATTAAATTAAAATTTAATATAATAAATAGAATACTAAATTCTATTAATTTAACATTTAACCTTATCAATTAATGTTAGTTATTTAATTTAACAGCAAATGAACATTCAATTTCATTAAAGCAACATTTAAATTTATTCAATTAGCATTAAATTTNCTTATCAATTAATGTTAGTTATTTAATTTAACAGCAAATGAACATTCAATTTCATTAAAGCAACATTTAAATTTATTCAATTAGCATAAATTTTATTAAATTAACATTGAATTAATATTTAATTTTATCAAATTAAAATGAAATAAATATTTAAATTTATCATATTTAGACCAAATTTATTTAATTAATATTAAATTTTATCAAATAATATTTAAATTTTATATATGAAGAGTGATGTATGAAAAATGGTCAAGAGATGTTGTAGAGGACAGATGATAACCAAGAAGTTAGAAATTGATGAAATTTTGACATTGACTTTATCGATTGTAATTTTATTATAATTTTATTTAACTATAAAATAAATTTAAAATCCTGTGATTTATAACGAATAACAAAAAATATACCACAGAGGGAACTTAGGTAATATAAGAAATAAGAAACCGAAAAGTGTACCTCTTACCCAATAACTTATAAGAAAATAGATTTAATGGTTTAAAAGTCTAACAGGTGTTTTGAATGAAAAAGATTTGCATAAAAATTTTTTAAAAAAATTGCATGAAAAAAATATAAAACAAAATTATTTAATTTTTTTTACAAAAAAACTGCAAGAAAAAAAATAATTTTTTTTACCAACTTTGGTAGTGATCAATCACTGTGGAGAACGAGTTGAAAAATAATTGTTGACTTTAGTCCCTCATGTCTTCCAACAACCTTAGATCGTTTTGGACATTTATAAACAACAAAATGTATGGTATATATATAGTAGAAAAGGGATTGAAGGAATTTTAGTATATTTAAATAAAGAATGATAGTTTTGACATTTTAAAAAAATTTATAGTCAAACTGTTAATTTTTGTACTGACAAAGTTAAAAATTAATGTTAAGAATTAATGTTAAGGGGTATTTTTGATTTGAAAGTATAAATCAAAAGGGAATGCAATAAAGTTTCGGAATCGGGAGGGGATGTTATTGAATTTAGACCTAACTAGAGAAAGTGTGGATGAAATTTTCCCTAACAATATTTACA